GTTATGGTTAAGAGTTAGGGTTAATTAGGATTAGGGTTCCAGACAGGGTTTTGTAGGGGTTCGGAGAAGGTTCAGGTTTGGTATTATGGTTTGCCTTAATGTTTAGATTTTGGCTGTGGTGGGAGGGATGATGTTAGGGTTAGGGCTGGTCACTGTTAGTGGTGCTTAGGGTTAGGGTTTGTATTTGGAGTTTATTGTTAGTTTTATGGTAGGGCATGTGGACTTTAGAAGTACCTAGAGTTAGTGTTAGCATTTAGGTTGTTTTGGTTAAATTTGTGTTAGGGTTTGGTTACCTTCAGGGTTAGTGTTATAATTTGTGCTGGGGTTGACCTGAAGTTTAGGGCTAGGATTAGTTTTAGGGATAGGGTTATGGTTATGTTTAGGATTAAACTTTAAGTTTGGAGTTATTGGCACCCCAATATGCTGGAGTTCTGCCCTGCCCAGAGCAGAACAAGGCACAGTAGCAAGTTTCACACAAGTGACTCAGGCTGGCTGAAGTTCCATCTCACATCACACCCAGAAATTTCAGAATATTCTCTGTATTCAGCATCAGGCCAGGCAGTGGTCAGTGCCTCACCAAATACCCAGAGACACCTTTAACCTGTTTACTAGCTCTTCTTTCTCAAAATTCAAGAGATTCCAGATTGTTCCCAAAGCTTCCCACGAGATCCTCTTTCTGCTCAGAGGTGCAGGTGTTGCTGAGAAGGATTGTTCAGCAGACACATTTTGAACAGGATCCATCCAGGAGAGGTTATTTCCTGAATGGAAATGAAACTCCTTTATACAGGCTGAATTAGGGAGTCAGTGGCCAAACTGTTCCCTTCAGACCTTGTTTTCTTTGGGCCTTAAGCATACCCCACATGAGACATCTGGCACAGAGTTTACAGGATACAGTTTGCTTTGGCTCTGGCCAGATTTTGGAGCTCACAGTGTTTAAAAAGGATTTTATGAACTGAAGATCTCACTCTCTTCTGTAATGCATCAAATTAAGGTTTCCACATATGCCTTTAATAGAGATCATTAAGACACTTATTGTATATTAAATAAGCATCACTCAGTGAAATAGAACTCCCTCACTGAGGATTAACAAACATACAGCTCAGTCAGAATCCTGCAGCAGTTAAACCTCAAATACAACTTCAGTGTCACTACCAGTCTTTTCATGAAGATAATACTTGCCCTATTAATGCCAATTAACAGACTAAGGCCTTCCCTGTGGCATTGGTCACCCCGAGGCCCAGAGCACCAATTCCCTCCCCATCTCCAGAGGCCGGGTCAGTTCTCAGGACAACCAGAGCTGCTCACTCTCCACTGCTCCAGATAAACTCTCAAACAGAGAAGCGTGATGTGGATTTCAGGAGATTGAAGGGGGAGATCTGCAAACCCCTGGGAAATGCTGGGCAGGTTTGTTAATCCAAGGGTTTTCCCAGGTAAGCAGGGCAGAGCAGCAGGTCCTGGATGCTTGCAGAGCCAGTGAAGCAGGAAGGGATTGCTGCCCTAACACAACCCTCCTTCCACTCACATCTTGCCAAGAACTCCTCGCCAGGACCCCTCTGGAGGGCTGGGGTACCCTGGTACTCTGCTGGGAGCCACTCCAGCCTTCCAGGAGGCAGAAGGGAAGGGAGCAGCCTGCATCCCTGCCCTCACAAGCCGACGTGTTTCCCCAGGAGCACCTCAGGCTCGCAGACTCCCAGCTCCAGACACGGCCCCAAGAGCCTCAGCAGCAGTCAGCACCAGATTCCTCTGCCTGGCTGCTCAGGCTGACCTTCCTGCAGGAGATGGACCAGATGTTCCAGCCCAGGCTCCAAGGGGGCTCAGCAGCCTGAGCCAGAGCTGTGTTGTAACACTTGGCTGTCCATGCACAGAGATTCCCCTGCCCCTCATTCCTGGGAAATACTGGGGTTCCTTCCTGGGGTTTTGGTAGTGATTATTACTATAAAAGTTGAGCAGAAAGAAAGTAACAGTGGACTCCTTGCACCCTCATAATTTTAATTTGATTTATCTTCCTTAATATAAATGACCTAATTTCAAAAGAGGCCCAGAGGATCAAGTTGTCCTTCCCCATGGCACAGCCACCTTCCTGCAGCTCAGGGGTTCAGCCTGTTAACATGGCTCCTAGTTGCTAGTCTGTAAAATAACCCATCACCAAACCCTACAGCAGGCTGCACATTTAGATATTGATCAATTGTTAAAGCATCTCTGCAATGTACTCTGTAAAAAAGGAAATGACCTTATGCCTCCTTTGAGACTCTTCACCTTCCTCCTCCAAGAATTCCTGCAGCATGACTTGCTGCATGCCCTGCCATCCCCTTGCTGCGTGGGACTCTTGCATGAGCTCTTTTTCAGAGCTCAGTTTCCTCTCCAAAGCAATACCAACCAGAGGCAGAACAAAAAAACCCTAAAGAGACTCTTTGTTAAACTGCCCCCCTCTCACTCAAGCTTCCTCTTCTGACAAAGAAGGAGAAAAGGCACTAAAAGAGGGGGAAAAAATTAAATCCAAAAGGTTTGTGGAGACTGGCCTCCATAGTTCAGGTCACTTTATAACTTGCCACACTAATTTGATATTGAAAAACAAGACTGAGAGAAAAGAGAGCTGGGCTGACCCCTGGGAGATTTTCTGTGGGTGGTACAGTGGCTGGGTGAAGGGAGAACTCACCCAGACACCTCACAGCTCTGCCAGCTCAGGGCTGCAGCCCTAAATAAGCCCAGAGAAACCTTCATTCCTGTCACTTCTGTCCTGTTCTGAAGGATCAGGAAGGAGACAGAGCACCAAGGGCTCCCGAGGTCGCCAAGCACACAAATGTCAGCGCAGCGTGACCGAGCAGCACATGGGGAATGGAAGGTGCTGGGACGGGAGCGTGATCTCCACGGGAGGGAAATGCTGAATCTTGCTCCAAGCCCAAAGCTCCAGAGAAGACATCTGGCAAGATCAGGACAGAGAGGCAGGTAACCATGACAACCACTCATTTCTGAATCAGACAACAGAAATGACTCCTGCAGCCACAGGCCCCATGACCACACCTCTGCTCCAGCCTGGGGAGGATGGAACAACACTGGGAATGTGCCACAGGCTCCCCCAAAAACAGAGACCCCCACATCACTCCTCTGCTCAAGCACAGGCAGGACAAACCTGCCCAATTTCACACTCCTAGCTCCCACTCTTCCCTGTTTCAGCACTGAGACCAGGCAGGCACCTCCAAGCACTTTGTTTCCAAAACCCTGAGAAAAACAAATGGAAAAACCCTATGAAAATTAACAAATTCCCAAAGCTGAGGGAAATCCACCATTTCATGGCAGAGCTTCATCTTTCCAGAACAGCAGAACAATTCTAAAATGTGCAAGTGCACTATCATTGTTATTCACTGTACACATCAGGTGGGAAGCTTTCATCTCCACTGGGCACCCACATCACTGATTTTATGAGCTGTGCACACACTTAAAGTTAGGAATAAAATTGAAATGGTTCAGAGCTTGGCATTAACACGATAATGCTCCAGGAAAAAGGCACTGGGCTGAGCAGCCCCTCACCCTCCCAGCCCACCTCCCTGGCATCTGAACAGAATCCCAGAATATTCTGAGTTGGAAGGGACCCTCTCACGAGTTCTCCCTCCCACCTTTCACTGCCTTCCTGCTGCATCTGCCCAGCACTTCGAGGACCTTCTGGTCGTGTTGTCCTCCCAAAGTGCTCAAACAGAGCAAAAAACAGAGCTGCTCCCATAAAAGCTCCAGTTCTTCAAGGCAGACATTTGTGGTTGTTTGCTGCCCCTGTTATAGGTGAGAAAAAGGCTTTTAGATCCCTGGCCAGCCAAGGATGGGATCTAACAGCCAGGTGTGCTGAAAGTGGAAGCTGAGGAGTAGGGTGAGACCCTGCATTACTTTTGCAAGTTTCTTATCAACCTTTTTTTTTTTTTTTTTCTGGATAAACTTTGCCGTCTCAATGAGTTTTGTAAAAAAGCTAAAACACCTTGCCTGCCCTCCCAGCAGCATTCCCAAGCTCTCCACTCCCCAGAGAGTGACCGGACAGAAATACAATCACTGCACAGTTTTACCCCCAGCCCAATTCACACAGCATTTCTGCTCAAGCATTATGTTGTACCTCTAACATCCACCTTGCTTTTCCAGCATGCTGGATCCTCACATCTGCCCAGCTTAGTCTCCCAAATCTCCTGAGAAGGGTTTTGGGTCAGGCTCTCCAGCATCCATCTCTTGCAAAACCATATTTTCCAGTATTAGATCCTTGCCTTTTCCTTCACATTCCCCAGTATAAGACCTTTGCCTTTTCCATCATTTTCCAGTATAAGACCTTTGCCTTTTCCTTAATATTCCCCAGTATAAGATTTTTGCCTTTTCCATCATTTTCCAGTATAAGATCTTTGCCTTTTCCTTCACATTCCCCAGTATAAGATCTTTGCCTTTTCCATCACTTTTCCAGTATAAGATCTTTGCCTTTTCCTTCACATTCCCCAGTATAAGACTTGTGCCTTTTCCACCACATTCCCCAGTATAAGACCTTTGACTTCCTTTGCATTCCCCAGTATAACACCTTTGCCTTTTCCTTCACATTTTCCAGTATAAGATCCTTGCCTTTTCCTTAATATTCCCCAGTATAAGATCTTTGCCTTTTCCATAATTTTCCAGTATAAGATTTTTGTCTTTTCCTTTTCATTCCCCAGTATAAGATCCTTGCCTTTTCCATCACATTCCCCAGTATAAGATCCATGCCTTTCCCTCCAACCTTTCAGCTTCCCAGGAAGGGCTGGAGAAGCTCCTGGAGCAGAGGGCAGGGTTGCCCAGCTCTCCTCCCCAGGAGCAGGATTAAAGCCCAGCCAGGTTCTTGTGTTCAGTTTAATTGGGAGATTTGGGTCGAGCTGGCCCCAACCCAAACCTGACCTTAAGCAAACCCACCCCAACCAACATCCACCCCACAGTGCTGCTCCATGCCAACAAAACAACCCCACGGAGCCAAACTGGGAGTCACAAAACCAGCCCACAGACCTGTATGTTCCTAGCCAAGGATTTTATTTTTCGTTTTGGCTGAGGTTTCATTATCCTGGAGCACCTGCTTTTCTGGCTTGAGTTCAGTGCCAGGCACTCAGTGCTCCCCACCCAGCCCAAAGAGGGGCTCTGCTGCACAGGGAGCCAGGAGTGTTTCAGATGTCAGTGCCTCCAGCTGCTGTGTTGGTTTTGAGAGAACAAATGTGCCCAGTGAAGCAGAGAGGTTGACATAACTCTGTCACTGCTCGGTGCTACACAAAGCATTGAGGTTCAAGGAGCGAGCACACAGAAACCCTGTTTGGAAATGTACTCAATTCAACACACAAAAGAAGAAGAATGGAAACAAAACGCACAGGATTTCAAAGCTGACATCAAATGAGCCTTGCAGAATGAGCTTTTAATTAAACAATATTAGATGCCTCTTTTCCAGGGGAAAAAAAAAAAAAGGAAAAAAAATAAAGGGCTTAAAGCTGTTGTTTTCTTTAATAGATTTTGTAAAGTGATTCTTCTCAGGAGATGGATGTTGCTGAGGGGAGAGTTTTGACTTGGGGAGCACAGAGGAAAAGATGCTTTGGCCTGGGACGTGATCTGCATGATCCACTCCAACCCCTTTCTTTCACACTAAGTAGGGAACCCTCCAAACCAGGGACTGGGAGGGCTCAGGGCAGTATTTTGGGCAGGAGAGTCAAAGGTTTGCTTTAACCACAGCACAGGTTAAAGTGGGGGCCTCTGTCTGGAGAGAGATGCACATGTGTGGATTGGGAAATGAAGAGGGAGAAGATATGGCAGAGGAAAGGGGAAAAGCAAATTTGGACTACAGCTGCTTTATATTTTGAGCCAAAAATTCAAAATGCAGTACAGTACTTGGTTGCAAGGTTCTCTTCCTTGCCTTCCAAAATGCTTCTTACCCAGGTGCTCTGCAGCAGGGGGGAAGTGCTATGAGAACACAGGGTCTCAATATAGCCAGGGAGCTTTGCAGTTGTTAAAAAATGCAAAAAATAAATTTTTAATGGATCCCCCATAAAAAAAAAAAAAAAAAAAGGAAAAAAAGAAAACCAAACCAATAAACAAATTAACAAGAAACCAAAGGGGGAAAGATCAGGAAAAAACCAAAACGCTGCTGGATTAAATAATGAAATGAATTCCTCTAATTACCACAAGATGCTCCCCAAGTCTGACAGTATCTCTTGGAGCAGATGTGTTCAAATCATATTTCCTCATCCTCCAGCCTGCATGGGCAGATTCCAGCACCAGGCACTAATGTTAAAAAGTGCCTAATGACTATTGACATTTAAGAGCCTGCCTTGGCTTTTGGTGCTTGCATTTTTCCCATCTTCCAGGCCAAGTTTCAAAAGTTTTGCTGGTATTATTCACATCAGAAAGCGCTTGATTTAAATAAAATCCAAACCACTAAAATCTGGATTCATGAAAGCAGTTGCTAGAAAGGAAGGAGTGGAGCCCTTGCAGTTTTTCTGTAGAGAGAGTGAGAGCAAAGGGGCAGGTCTGAGCTTTGTCCTGCAGTGACAGCAAACGCTGCCTCCCTCTCTCCGAAGCCCCTGCAGATGTTCTTTGGGGATGAAGGATTATACACACTCACACACAGATCCCAAGCAGGTTTTTCTCATGGGTTTCCCTTGTGATGTGCTGCTCTCAGCCTGCACGGAGGTTCTTGGAGTGATGTCTTCACTAAACAACAGGTAAGCTGGCAGCTGCAAAAAAGCAGAAGATAAAATTATGCCAATTTTTTCTCCACAGTCCTTCCCTTGCTGCTTGGGAATGGACTGTCCAAAGAGCTCAGGGATTTTGAAGCAAACCCAAGAACAAATGTTCTGAATTCTGCCATCTGTTGCCTCCCCTCTATCACTGGTGTTCCATAGCTGCTCTACAAATATTTAAGTGGAGGGCATTGTGACAGTTTGTAAAGAACATCTTCACAGTGTCTTTTCCATTTCCCACTCTCTTCCATTTCCCTTTTCCCTGCTCCCACGTCCAGAGCAACCTCCTCTCCTCTCCTCTCCTCTCCTCTCCTCTCCTCTCCTCTCCTCTCCTCTCCT